AAAAAAAATTATTATAATTTATAATGATTATCATTACTAATTATGAGTAAACATCATAATTAATAGTTGATTTTAATTAAATGTAAATGAATTAAATTAACTTTATACATCATAAATTATAAGGCATTTAAATATTTTAAACATTTTAAATTTTATTTTAAAAAAAGAGAAGATTTATATATAAATAAAATTTAAACTTAAAATACTCCATTAAAGTAACTTTAATTCTGTTTATAATGCTCATATATTAATCGAGGATTAAAGATATCAAGTTAAATAATCTCATTAACGAAATAATTGCATTTCAAATAAAGATTTGTGCCATTTTATTTGATTTTTTTAAAATATATTTTTTGGTCAGATTGGGACTATATCAGAACTAATTAAATGTCGACTTTTTCTTAACATTTTACAGGATTTTTAACGAATCTTAATGGAAAGTGTCAAGGATAATCCGATTAGTTGCGATACGACAAATGCAGAGAAGTTAACATCATTAGGTCATGTCAGTGATAATCGTCCATCTGGCAGTGAAACAACGCCACTTATTGGTGAAAGCTGGTGGCAAAAGATACCAAAACGACATGTTGTGGCCGTTATGGCCTTTTGGGGATTTTTCAATGTATACGCGCTCAGAGTCAACTTAAGCGTAGCCATTGTAGCAATGGTAAATATTTGATATCTGCCTACTTAATGGATGCATTTGTATAGATAATTGTATATTAAAAGAGAATTTTCTATTTAATTTAATTAGATTTTCAAGAAAATTTAATTTAAAAGCTTTTAACTGTATTTATTTTTATTTTTACTTTTTTTAAAATATAAATTGAATATATATGTATATATATATATATATAAAGTTGGTTCAGTTACTTTTTAATTCTTCGGGAGTTCATTCTGGTGTATGGAAGATGATTGTTGAGAGGGCGATGCTTTAGCTTTATCCCATTGGGAGTAGGGAGATAGAGAGGATAGCTCTAGGTGTGTTACAGTAACAGGGTCACGATAACTGGCATAAAAATTATCTGATATCAATGAAATTTTTGGCAACGTGCCCGAGTGTACTGAAAGAATTCTTTATGAAGTTTTAATGTATTGCATTCTATACCAACTTTCTGTTGGTTCATTTTGAATTTAAGAAGATTAGCTTAACTTCATACATACATTTTTTTCTGTTTTTTTTTCTTTTTAATGTTAGATATTACATTTTTTCTATAAGAAGATTAGTTTAGAATTGTAGACAGAATGATCAATTTTTAATTATTTAGAAAAGAGAAAATGCGTGTAGCAGTAATAGTCTAGACGTGATATTTTCTAGAAAGTTGAATTGTGTCAACGTAACTTTGATTCTGATAGGAACGTGTAGAATCGAAAATCTGTCATGTCGGTTCAATGGTCCTTCAAATTGGAAATGAAAATATAATTGCCTTTTGTAGAATTTGTTTCACTAGAATCTTCTCTCTTTTTTCCCTTTATTCTAAGAAAAAATATTTTTTAAAAAAGTTTCAACTCTAAAAGTATTTTTTCTGTCGAATTTTCGGCTAAAAAAGTACAGTACTTTTTTTATTCTAAAATTAATCAATGGATGGTTTAATTTTTAAGTAAGATAAAGAATAAAGAAAATGAAATAATTTTCATCTTTTTGGCCATCAAAATTCAATTATTTCACTCCAAGAGTTGTTTTTTTATACGCAACAACCAGTCTATACAACGGTACATTTAAAAATTTTATGAATTTTTCTCGGTGTTTTTTGTGTAAAATTCTCAAATATTTGCAATTTTTACATAATTATAACGTTCTGTGATTAATTTATGTATAAATAAGCAATAAATACACTTATTTCTATATAAAAAATTTGAATATATCAACGAAGAAACTAAACGTATCGTCTAAAGATTCGGATCTAGATATTCTAATTCGACTAATTTACTAAAAAACAATTATTCAATATATAATAATATAAAACTATTCTCAATAACAAAGCTATTTTATTATTTTAATACTGGAGCAGGAAATGGTAAATTAGTAGTGAATGAACTTTGATATAATGAATGCCTCAGATGATCTCTTCAGAGATTATGCCTCAGATGCAACACATTCGTTGAATTCCTCGATGCTACTGATCCGAAATTGCTAAATCGAATCACCAAACCGAATAAGAATTCACTACATTAGTTATATATATATATATATATATATATATATATATATATA